ACTATATGAGCTTGTGAGCCACTATAAGCTCGCGAGCAACTATATAAGCTCGCGAGCCACTATATAGGCTTGCGAGCTACTATAAGCTCGCGAGCCACTATATAAGCTTGCGAGCCACTATATAAGCTTGCGAGCCACTATATAAGCTTGCGAGCTGCTCGAGCTTTAAGAGCCAAGCCTTAGTTAGGCTTGGCTCGTGAATTTTTAGCTCACGAGCTTATGAGCCTATAATACTAGACTTGACTCAGCTTGACTCGACTCGGCTCATTGAGCTTGCGAGCTTTAATACTCATTCGGAGCTTTATCAAAAAATATATATTGGGTATCTATCAGATACCATAATAGGTATCCAATAGGTACCTAATATATTAAATTTTGATCAATGATAATTAAAAATTTTATTAAATAATTATTTTTAAATATACTTATAATATTATAATATTTTCTTTAATTTTATAATAAAATAATTTTTATAAGTTTTAAAATAATAGTTAAATCATCTTTTTAACATTAATATTTGTAAAAATATTAAAATTTAAAATAATTAATTTTATACTTAACTTCAATTTGATTTTATATAATGAAGAACGATTTTTTATTAAGATATTCTTATAATAGATCAAAAGTTCTAGTTCTTGGCTACATAATGATATATATTTATTTTTGTAGTATCAAAATTCATAAAGTTATTACTATTTTAAATTATTAATTAAAATAATAGTATTGAAAAATTTAAATACTTTATCAATTAAATCAAATATTTTATCACATGACTAGAGTTATATCAGCTAATTAGAATTGTACCAGAATTTAGCCAGAATTTAGCATTTGAGCTGGAATTTAGCCAGAATTTAGCATTTGAGCTGGAATTTAGCCAGAATTTAGCATTTGAGCTGGAATTTAGCCATTGAGCCAAAATTTAGCCAGAACAAAATTAATTAGCCAAAGGAACAATCATTGAACTAGTTTAATATTAATTGAACCTACTATCCTTACTAAGAAGTAAATTTATTATATTTTTACTTTTATTCATATAAAAATAGAATCTGCAGGAGGTTGTACAACACTAATTAAATCAAGTCACTGATTAATATGGAAAATCACAGTTACTTGTATTTTGAAATTTTTCTTCTTGAATATTACTATTTTTATTATTTTTTTTTATAATTTTTATAATTATTACTATCAATATATAAAGTATCATTATTTTGTTCATTAAAAGTTAAAGGTTCTATTAAGTAGTAAAAATAAAAAATTATTAAAATTGGCAAGTTTGAAAAAATAAAAAATACTTTAAATTTTATTACAAAAATTTCTTGGTTTAGTTTCAGTTACATCTTAACTATTTTGATAAAGATCTACATAAAATAAATCATGTGAAAAGAGAAAGTAAATACAATGTCCATCTTTTAGTTATTCATTATTATATAGTGCAACGGATCAGTTATTTACACATGATCTTTCATGTGGCTTTTATTTTAAAAAATGTCTATACTTCATAAATCAAATCTTTCATATAATGGCCAGCACTAGTGATGACATCCGAAGAGCCGAATTACACAAAACTAAAGGCAATACCTATTTCAGCAAAAAAGATTACGAAAACGCTATAAGAGAGTATACTGCAGCTCTTACTCAAAATCCTAGGAATGCAGTTTATTATACAAACCGAGCATTATGCTATTTAAAATTAAAAAAATATGATAATGTCATAGAAGATTGTAAAGAGGCTATAAATCAAGATGGAAACTCAGTAAAAGGACATTATATGCTAGGCCAAGCTTTAACCGAAAAGGGCGAGTTTAAGTCATCAATCTCTAACCTACAGAAAGCATACGAACTATCATTATTAGAAAAATCATCCTTTTCAGCAGAAATTGTCCAGGCTTTGCTTAATGCCCGGAAAAAGAATTGGGAAATAGAGGAACGAAAACGTATTCAACAAGAATCAGAATTACTGAGATATGTCAAAAACTTAATCAACACTGAACGTGATAAACAACTTCAGAAAGTTTCACCAAAGAATACGTTTTCCAAATGGGTCAATTCTCATCCGCCTGACATTCAAGAGAAAATTGATCAAATTAACAAAGCACACGATGAAAGACTTTCACAAATAGAACAAGTTTTTATCCAGTCAGATGAAAATCTACGACCAAGAGAAGTACCGGAATATTTTCTTGATAAAATATCATTTGAAATTATGCATGATCCTGTTATTACACCATCAGGAATTACTTATGAACGCGCACATTTGAAAGAACATTTCAAAAAGATTGGACATTTTGACCCTCTATCTAGACGGGAATGTCGCGAAAACGATTTGTATCCAAATTTGGCATTGAAAGAAGAGATCGAAGATTTTCTAAGTAAAAATGGTTGGGCAGCAGACTATTAGTGAAACAAAGGGAAAGCACTATCAGAATATTGAAATGCATGATCTGCGATCCGTTTTTGATAAATATACTTTAATTAAATTTATATGGAACCGGAATTATGTGTCGCTAAATGTATCGCTTTATGTATCATTTTGATATAATATTAGCAATCGAATTTAGATTGTTCGGATCATGACTAGGGGTGCAGGAATATTGCCGTATCCCAATGAAGGGTTACGACCCTACATTTCATAACTATGCCGCTACAGTGCAGAACTTCTATAATAAGGAACTTAAATTTAATCTGATCTATTAATTAAAATTTTATCCAAAAAAAAAAGATCGTGGGAAATCATTTTTTAGATCAAATTACTATTTTTAGTATATCTCAAATTGATAGCTATAGTAAATTCAGGTGACTTTAATTACAATAAAATTTTAGGCGTGCCGTATCATGTACCATATGCCAACCAAACTGCCGTGGATTCATATATAAATGGTACATGTAATTAAATTATATGTTCGATCTCTTGAATTGCCTTCTAAATATTAATCTCATCTCTAAGTAAACATGTTTAGCACACTCGATAGTAGTTATTTTTAAAATTTTATGCAATTCGAACCAAATATTTGTCGAGAAATATCATCCACGATTTACCCCGAATAAATAATCAAGTCAAACAACATACTTAAAAAGCTTAAAAACAATCTGCATATTTAATATATAATAAACCACATTTTACCAACAATATTTAAATTGCTATCACATATATCAGAGAAAATAAAGTAGTAATGTTTCCAGTAATAATTAAAAAAAATGCTCCCAAAAAAATTGGTTCACTTCTTACTAGCAGATTTACGACTACCTCGACCACTTCCCCCTCCTCTACTGCCTCTACCCCTATTACTTGCACTGCTTGAGTTTCTTTTACCCCTGGAAGTGTTCTGTCCTACCGTCTTAATAAATTTGTCTTTTGACAAATCATTTTCTTCATCAGTAACCTCTTCTTCTTTACTATCTTCTTCTGGTTCAATTGCTTCATCAAAGTCTGGATGTTCATTGGTACTGCCCGATTTTGACATATAATTAACGGTGGAGGCCTTAAGGAAAGACATTGGGTGTGAAGTAACATTATACCTTATTTAAAAAAAAAAAAAAAGTTATAAACCAAATTTTGTAATAATTATTAAGCAAATGAAATTACTACCTCTTAGTAAAGTTCGTTTTGACATATTTGTCAATTTCTTTTAATATTTTTTCACCATCATTTGATCCAACACCCAATTCCATTATCGCATCCCAATCGTCCTTAGTGAGATAATAATAATCCATGAGATTAATAACTTTATTAATGCCTTCCTACAAAGATAAATCAAAAAAAAAATAAATATAAATTAAACCAAAAAATACGTTGATGGAAAATGTATAAATAAATTTTTATCAGCGTACCAAACGCTCACAAATTAATGGAAGTGATAAAGCTTTAGACAATGTAGGAAGGTAGTTCAAACGAACTTCATTCTTATCACCAGATATTCTTAATCGCATATGAATTTGTATTTCTTTTAATAATCGTGAATATTTTCCAGCCTTGGAATTTTGACCCAACCAACTTAATAAACAATTAAAATAAACAGTTAAATAAACAATTAAAATTTTAAATAGTTATAATCATATATATATTAATACCTTGGAAATGTGAATTGATTGGCTTGACCACTTGAATTACCATGAGCATAGTATGCAGGAAGGACACAAGACATCATACCATGAAAAGGCATCAATGACCAATGTTGTTGTGTTCTAAATTTTCAAGTGAAGATAAATTATTTAAGTGTAAACCAAATTCATAAAAATAAAAATACTTTACCCATGAATCATCCTATCAACCAAGTCTCCGTCTGAAATGCAATCTGCAGCCTTGCTAAGAGCTTCCATTGTCACAAGCTGTTCAAGGAAATGTGGATTACCTTCATTGTTTTTAACAAATCCAGTGGCACGTTCAGGTTTAATTTTCAAATAATTTTCCTAAATGCAAAACGAATTAAATACAATTAAAAAAAAATTTTTTTTTTAATAAATAATCATTATACTTACTTGAATCATTAAAGGTAATAAATCGGATTCGAGAAAATATAGATCCAACTTATCATTCAAATTAGATTTGTTGCGCGGATTCCATGTTGAAGTGCCAAGAATCATATATGCCATTTCCCATAGATTCATATCAGCATCTTTTTCTGATGCTTTCCCACTGTGTAAATTTGATCAATTTTGATTTGTTAAATATAAATTAACAAGGTCAAATTATAATAATTTGATAGTACTAACTTACAATTCCTTTGCATCTTCATAATTTATCGTGTTATGTGAATATTTTAATGAAGAAAGCAAAGTCAGAATTTGACGAATATCTGCATTAGCACCTTTAACAAGTTCATCTACCACATTAATTGTATTAAATTTGATTTTTTCCCTATGATAAAAATTTTTTTTTTTTTAGAAAAAAATAATTTAAAATAATTTTAAAGCCTAAAAATTTCTTAACAAACCTTGTTGCGATAGTCATAATTCTTGATCGGATTTGTTCAACTCTGGGTCTAAATTTAAATATATTATTATTAATTATTTAATTTATATTTAATTAATTTGACGTTAAACAATTATCCCAAATTTTAATTCGAGAGCATAAATTTTCACTTACTTCTGAAATTTAAACTCCTGACACACATTCAACAACGAACGTATTTTTGGAGACTTACGGTCATTGCATATACAAATAATCGGAACCTAAGCAAACGCAAAGAAACTTTTTTATAAATATTTAAATGTTGCTCAAAAATTGATAAATAATCATCTTTCTCTACGCACCTGCGTTTTCCTAATTAATTTTACAAGTTCAGCCATTCCACCCCTGTCTCCAGCGGACATACCATCAACTTCATCCATAATAATCAGAATTTTATTTGCATTTTTTCTCTGTAAACATTTTACAATAAATAAAAATAAAATTTTAATTAAATCACACTGTAATATTATTAAAACATACCTTGGAGCCTTGTAAAGATTCATGATGAAAGAATCCCGCAATAGAAGTATTTTGAGTAGTTATTTTAACAACTTCCTATATATATTTGTAAATTTAATTGAATCAAATTCGTATGTTTTGAGTGTAAAAGTCGATACTAATATGTTAATAAAATTCCATACATCAAGTTCTTTTTTGTTCCTGGTATCACTAGCATTAAATTCTTTCACGTCATAACCTTCAAGTTTACCAATTAAATGCGCAGCAGTAGTCTAATGTAAATCAATGAGACTGAAAATAAATATTATTTGGAAAGTAATTTGAAAACCAGTATATGTATATATCATCAAAAATTTAATAAATCACTTTGCCGATTCCCGGATTTCCGGAAATTAATGCTGCTGGATATAGATTATTCGATTGAAATTTGAATCCTGTTTTATGGTTTGATTCCCTGAAAAAGGTTTCCAATATGAAAAAAAATTCATTTGTTTCGAAGAGCTATTATTGTCAGATATAATAATTTTACCATGCATTTAGCCATTTTTGAAGATTTTCCACTTGCGACTTATTACCACAAATTTCTTTGATTGATTTCGGCTTATATTTCTCAGTCCATAATTGCGACATCAGATTTCTGATTGAAATATAAATGTAAATAAGATTCAATTAAAATTGTCCAAAAAAAAAAAAAAAAAAACTTTCGTACTCTGTATCCGAAGAATCCGAAGAATTAGAAATTTGTACAGAATCTTTTACAATATTTTCAACTCGCGATTTCGTCATCTTTGGGCTTTTATTAAAAGAATCAGATTTCCCTGGAGATGTCCTGATAAGCTCTAACAGTTGATCTTCGGTTAAAGTTGGAATTTTAAGTTGTTGAACCTTTTCCATTTTCTTGGGTCCAGGATCTTCACCAACGACAACATACGATGTACGTGAACTTGGGCCAGCGGTCACTTTACTAAATATAATATTGAAAATCAAAGTAAATATATGTTTTAGTAAATATTAGAAATATTAAAGACTTAATATTATATATATATATGTCAATAACATACCCCCCATATTTTTTAACGAGGTCTTGTGACTCTTCCCTATTTAAAGATTCCAAATCTCCCGTGAATACAAAGGTCATACCCTGTATCAATGTTTATCATTAAAAATTATGACAAAAAAAACGAATATTAAAATCATATCTAGATTTGGAATACTTACTAATAAGCAATTGTCTGATCCTACTGGTATTTCTTTGGATCCTGGTGCGGGTGGGCCAGTTCTTTGCAAAAAATTACGGTACCTTTAAAAATAGATTGTAAATATAATAACAGTAATAATAAAATGTATTGTTTATATAATATAACTTACGTAAATCCCTTATTTGTGTTTGATTTTGTTATTTCAGTAGGTTTAGATTCATCATTGTGAAGACTTTGAAGTTCCTAAATTGAAATAATTAATATTTAAGTATCAATTTCTGAAACTAAAAGAACAACTAATGAATATTTCTTACAGATTTACGAGCTTTACTATCAATTCGAGTTATTCTCTTATCAGAGGAATATTTGCTTGCGGTTTCTTCCTCAATAGCTTCTTCCTTAATGGCTACCTCCTTGATAGCTTCTTCAACTTTTATTTTCTTTTGTTTTCTGAAAAATAAAATAATCACGGTAAAGTGGTTTGTAAATATATAAATATTAATTGAACCAAAATTAAATTCTATGCGTGATACCTTTTACTTTTTCCTTTATTGTCCGTTTGATTCTCATCCTGATTACTTACAGGCAATGGAATTTTACTACTATAAAATTATATTTAATTTACATCCAATATCCGTTTTTGTTTTTAATCCGAAGATATTTATGAAATTAACATACCTTGTTTCTTCTTCGTCAGAATCTGTAAATAAATAGTTAATAAAACTTTCCATTTATTACTTGATTAAACCCTTTTTAAAGAACTTACCATTTATGCCCCTTTTTTTAGTCACTCGTTTTTTAGGTTGTCTCTTGGTGTTCTCGACGACCTAATTTTACGAAAAACGACGAAAAGGGTGTCCTTTAGACTAAGAACATAAAAAAAAAATACGCGTCTCAATGTTACCTTTTCCGCGTTTTTTTTGTTACCAGATGTTCCGCCAGTTTTGCCAAAAAAATTTCGTATATCCATAGATTAAGAAATTTTTAAATAAAAAAAAAACAAGACGCGATATTACAGTATTATTAATATCAAGAAATAGATATTAAACTGCCCCTGAATTAAAAATGTTGTAAATCAAATTATCTTACCCTTGAAATTTGATAATTGCAAGATTTTAACATGTCGTGTTACATAGTGTGATTGGTTATTTAAAATTTTATGTGCTATTTTTTTTATTTTATCCACATTAATTCATATGTTACATCAAATATATCACATATATTTGGTTTTTATTAATTGTATATATATTTGCAAGTGAAATTTTCCTGATGTAACAAAATACATTTGGATTTAATGTAGAAATATTTTTTAATCTTTGATATCAAGAACATCAAGGTCTGTAATAAGTACTAATCAATCAAAATGAAATATTTGGATATTATACCAATTTGGATATCTACTGAAAGTAATATATACTTGTTCAGATGAAAGATGTTTCCATCTAATGTAGGTATACTTTTGATCTTGTGTTTTGTGTACAGTTGAGGCAAAGCAATTTTGTATAGGAAATTGAATTCTGTGACAAATGTATTCATCAATTCAAAATAATGAGTATACTGTAAACCTGGATATCGATTATTGTATCAAAAAATTTTTGGAGATGAATATGTTCAGATATATTTGTTCACTCATATATTTATTCACATAAATCACATTAATTTACATTAATCCACATTAATTTACATTAATTCATATATTACACCAAATATATCTATATATATTTAGTTTTTATTAATTGCAAATATATCTGTATATATTTATAAGTAAAATTTCTTGATATAATCTTTTGACTAAAAATAATACTTTAATAAATTGATTTAAAGTACAGATCAAATACAAAAGAATTGTCATATTGAAAAGTAATTCTGATTTTAATTAATTTATAATATAGGATACAATAGAACAGTCAATTTTATTAATTTTTAGCTAATCTATAATATAAGGTAATACAGTGATTCTTTTGTATTTGATTAGTAAAGAAGTGTATAAGACATTAGCTAATTTAAAAAAATCAGTTCATCATCAGGAAATTTTTTCTAGTGATAACCTTCGAAAGTTAACGTTAACGTAAGTATTTCGCTATTTTTCGATATGTT